TTCCATATCTAGGTTGATTTCTGGGTTATATCATCATGTGTGTTAATGGTCAGTTGTTGGCTGTTGTTGCTTCTCTGTCCAAAGGGCTCCCTTTAGCATCTCTTGTAAGGTTGGTCTGGTTTTAACAAATTCCCTTAATTTCTACTTAACTGGAAATATCCTAATTTTACCATCATATTTGAGGGACAGTTTTGCGGGGTACATAATTCTTGGTTGGAAATTTTTCTCTTTCAGTGTTTTATAGATACCATCCCATTGTCTTCTTGCCTGCATGGTTTCTGTTGAGAAATCCGAGCTTAGTCTTATTGGTTGCCCCTTGTAGGTATCTTTTCATTTTTCCTGTGCTGCTCTCATGAGTCTTTTTCTTTGGTTTTGGTGAGTTTGATGATGATATGTCTTAGGGATTTTCTTTTGAGGTCTATCCTGTTTGGGGTTCGTTGTACTTCCTGAATGGATATATTCTCATCTTTCATCATACCAGGAAAATTCTCTTCCAACAAATATTCAACAATTTTCTCTGTGGTTTTATTTGTCTCTTTCTGTTCTGGAACTCCAATTACATGTAAGTTATTCCTTTTGATGGTATCCCACATGAACCTTAGGCTTTCTTCATTTTGTTTTAATCTTTATTCTGATTTATCCCTTTCCAAAGTAGTGTTCAGGTATTTGCCTTCAATCTCACTAATTCTGTCTTGCATTGATTCAATTCTGCTCCTTTGCCATTCAATATCTTATCTATTTTTGAAAATTTAGTATTAATCTTCTGGATTTCTGTGTGTAGATTTTGTATCATTTCTAACTTTTCATTTATTTTGTAATTTTGTTCTTGTATTGTCTTTCAAAATTGTTCTAGAGTTTTCTCTGTGTTTTCCTTGATCTGTCTCTCAATCTGTTGAAGATACCTAAATATAATTCTTTTGAATTCCTTATCAGGGAGTTCTAATGTGTGTCTTCCTCAGGGATGTGTTTTGGGTCTGTATCCTGGTCCCTTGTTTCTCCTGCTTTATCTTGCTTCTTTGTGTGGACTGTGATGCTCTGTTTTCTCCAAGGCATTGTGATGTTTTTGTGCTTATATTTAATTGGTGATTGTATGTTGGAGTGTCTTGCCCACGATTTTAATTTTCTTTGTTTTGTTTGTATGTTATCTCTGCAAGCAGGGTACTCTGCTGTGCTCTTCTATTCACTAGTTGACAGCACTTATACACTCAACACCTGTCCCTTTTCCTGTTGTCAGCCTCTTGTATGTCCCTGCCAACCTTGGCAAACAGAGCCTATTCTTAGGTCCCTGAAATCTGAATCTAATATATATTTTTTAAGAAAAAGTTTCTTTTAAAAGCCTATCTAAAAAGATATTAAAATGCTTACAGTCATTGCTGGTGGAATGCAAAATGGCACAGCCATATTAGAAAATAATTTGGCACTTTCTTACAAATTTACACATAAACTTACCGAACAACCCAACAATCTCGCTACTAGGTAACTATACTACAGAAATGAAAACTTATATTCACAGAAAATTTACATGCACATGTATATAGAAGCTGTCTTAGTTACCTAGTGCTATTGTGATAAAAATAACCACAAGTTGGTAGCTTTAGTAAACAGAAATTTATTTTTTTCACAGTTTAGGCAGCTGGAAGTCTGAATTCAGAGTGCTGGTTGTAGAGGAAAGCTTTCTATCTCTCTTGGCTCTGGAAAAGGGTCCTTATCTCTTTTTATCTTCTGTTACTTGGTTCTATGGAGATCTCATCTGGCATAGCATCTCTTTTCCTCCACTTCTGCTTAATTGCTTGGTTGCTTGCTCAGCCTACTCTTTTATATCTGCAAAAAAGGCATGGAAGCAGCATATTATGACCTCCTGCAACCTCACAAGGGGGAAACACTCACCATCAACAGACCAAGGGTTATTCCTATGAGGCCAGACATGCTGCCACACTCCAGCCTTTTTACCAAATCTGACGTCAACTGTCCCTCCCACAGTACTCACTACTTCTCTGCTGGGTTAAATAATTAATTGCAGTGGTCACATAGAACTCACGGACAACACAATTATGGGGTTTCTTAGGAAAGTAACAGGCTCCAGTTCAGGTTCAGGAACATGCTCAGGATACAATTCTTCAATCAGGACAGTCTCCCCTCTGCTATGCCCTCAGGCACTCCTCTCTGGCCCTTGGCTTCTTGGACTGGCCTTGGCCCTGCTTGGGCAAGTGTTACCAAGCTCTTTTTGCTCTGCTGATAGGGGCACCTACATTCACCCCACTCTGCCAAGAAGCCTCCTGTCCCAAAACATTCATCTTTCTCATTCCATGAGCCAGGCACTGCTCTGTCTGGTGCCTCTTGGTTCCCCTGTCACTATCTCTCAGCCAGCCATCTCTGCTGGGATGTCTCTGCCAGGGCATTTCTGCAAAGGATGTCCAGCACAGGGACCTTGGGTCCAAGAATGTGCTCCACTCTCTTGATGGCAGTGACATTCCCTCTTCTGCCTCTAGGAGAGCTCATTTTAAGCCCCAAAACATAGCAAAACTAACCAGTATTATGTTAGAGTTCCATACACCTTATTTGTATGGTTCCACCCAGTAATCTTGTGGGAGTTATATAGACTATTGGCTGGAAAAGCCATACCAACTACTTCACTGCACCACAATATCTTAAAAGAGATTGACTTAAGATATACCCTACACAAATGCTGCTTCTTTAACATAACAAAGAAAAACATTCCCAAATAGGATTATAACTATAGGTACAAGAGTTAAGATGTACAACACACATTTTGGTGGGACATAATTCAATCCATATCAGAAGCCTTATTCATAATCACCCAAAACTGGAAACTGTCATCAACAGTGGAATAGATAAGCTTCACTGTACCCATATAATGGAATAATACTCAACGATAAAAAGGAATGAACTAGTCCATGCAACAATATGGATGATTCTTAACTGCATTTTTCTAAGTGAAAAAACCCAGTCCCCAAAGTCTACATAAAAATGGCAAAGCTATAGGGAAGAAAAATTGGTCAGTGCTTTCTAGGGACTGTGGGAAGAGATTGTATAAAAAGGAATAGCACAGAAGAATTTTGAGTGTAATGTAACAGTTCTCTATAGAACTGTGCTGGTGGACACATGATCTACACATTTGTCAAAATACATGGAGTTGTATACCACAAAAAGTAAATTGAAAAAGCTGTCAACTAGGGGGCTTCCGGGAAGATGGTGGCATAAACATACCATCATTCCAACCCACCCCCATGAATACAATAAGAAATACAGCAGAGGATCGATGCTTGGCTTTGTAGAACTCTGAAT